TTCGCAGAAATAGAAAGCAATAGAAGCTTTCAAATCGCTGCCTACCTGAACACGGTACGAATCAATGCCAATGTAGTGCGGTGTGGTCAAACTGCCTGAAACGGATCAGCCTGCTCCCATCTTCGTGGCTTCCCGGACCTCGGCACATCTGCTTGCTGAGGTGTGTCGTTGCCCTTATGCTGTGGAGCTTTCCAGGATCGGATAAGCAGATGGATGCACTCCGCCACCGCGGAGGATCTCGTCTGGAGGCCCGATGACCGGAACACTTGGAAGGCCTGCTCTCTGGGGCATCACTGGAGGCCTGGGCCTAGGCTCATGACTCACAGGGTTGGGTTGGGCAGAAGGACGAAACCATCTTGGCTTGATGAGATTCGCCATTGCCATAGTATCCCCATGACATTCCATGAACACTCCTTGGCTGAAGTCAGTATGGCCTTCTGCGAACAGCAGAGGATAGAGGATAGACGAAGACCTTGTGCGGGAGAACTCCTGCCCTCCGGGGCTCCGTTGGAGGTTACTGGTATAAACCAGGCACGTTGCAGGATGGGGCACGGGGGCTGGTACCTACAGTGGGTGAACTTGGCGACTTGCTGCGGACGTTGCTGCGGCCGAAGTGCCTGCGCCTCAGCCACTGCTGTCGGCACTGAGTGCATGTCAAACTGCGCGAACCATGGAACCTGCTTGAACCCCTGATCTCTTCCCCGCGACTCGGTGATGAGGCTGTTATGCTTCACAGACAGACTCACGTGCAAGGAATCAAGAATGCAACCCTGGTTGACAGACCAAGACACATCCATGGTTCGTAGAAGGCAATGAAGCTTTCCAGTCGCTGCCTAGCTGAATACGGTACGAATCAATACCCATGTAGTGGGGTGTGGTCAAACTGCCTGGAACTGATCAGCCTCCTCCCATCTTCGGAGCTTCCTGGACCTCGGCACATCTGCTTGCTGAGGTGTATCGTTGCTCTTTAGGCTGTGGAGCTCTACCAGGATCGGATGAGCAGATGGATGCACGTCACCACCGCGGAGGATCTCGTCTGGAGGCCCGATGACGGGGGATGACATAGGGTTTACCGACAGGGAACACCGGGAACACTTGGAAGGCCTGCCCTCTGGGGCATTGCTGGAGGCCTAGGCTCATGACTCACGGGGTTGGGCATGAGGACAAAACCATCTTGGCTTGGTAAGACTGTACGGAGGAAGGGCTTGTTGCTGCACCGTCCCCATGACATCCCATGAGTATTCCTTGCTGACGGTAGTATGGGCTTCTGCGATCAGCAGAGGATAGAGGAGAGACTTAGTTAGTACAGACAGGCCGGAATCATGTGGGTAGAGGATCACAAAGACCTACGGGAGAACTCCTGCCCTCCGGGGCTCCGTTGGAGGTTACTGGTGTAAACCAGGCACGTCGCAGGATGGGACGGGGGCTGGTACTTACGACGGGTGAACTTGACGATTTGCTGCGGCTGAAGTGCCTGAACCTCGGCGATGAGGCTGTCATGCATTACAGACAGACGCACACACAAGGAATCCAGAATGCAACCCTGGTTGACAGACCAAAACGCATCCATGGTTCGTAGAAGGCAATGAAGCTTTCAAGTAGCTCTCGCTGAATACGGTACGAATCAATGCCCATGTAGTGGAGTGTGGTGAAACTGCCTGAAATTGATCAGCCTGCTCCCATCTTCGGAGCTTCCTGGACCTCGGCACATCTGCTTGCTGAGGTGTATCGTTGCCCTTTAGGCTGTGGAGCTTTACCAGGATCGGATGAGCAGATGGGATGCACGTCGCCACCGCGGAGGATCTCGTCTGGAGGCCCGATGACGGGGGATGACATAGGGTTTACCGACAGGGAACACCGGGAACACTTGGAAGGCCTGCCCTCTGGGGCATTGCTGGAGGCCTAGGCTCATGACTCACGGGGTTGGGCATGAGGACAAAACCATCTTGGCTTGGTAAGACTGTACGGAGGAAGGGCTTGTTGCTGCACCGTCCCCATGACATCCCATGAGCATTCCTTGCTGACGGTAGTATGGGCTTCTGCGATCAGCAGAGGATAGAGGAGAGACTTAGTTAGTACAGACAGACCTGGAATCATGTGGGTAGAGGAATACAAAGACCTTGTACGGGAGAACTCCTGCCCTCCGGGGCTCCGTTGGAGGTTACTGGTGTAAACCAGGCACGTCGCAGGATGGGACGGGGGCTGGCGCTTACGACGGGTGAACTTGACGATTTGCTGCAGCTGAAGTGCCTGAACCTCGGCGATGAGGCTGTCATGCATTACAGACAGACGCACACACAAGGAATCCAGAATGCAACCCTGGTTGACAGACCAAGACGCATCCATGGTTCGTAGAAGGCAATGAAGCTTTCAAGTAGCTCTCGCTGAATACGGTACGAATCAATGCCCATGTAGTGGGGTGTGGTCAAACTGCCTGAAACTGATCAGCCTGCTCCCATCTTCGGAGCTTCCTGGACCTCGGCACATCTGCTTGCTGAGGTGTATCGTTGCCCTTTAGGCTGTGGAGCTTTACCAGGATCGGATGAGCAGATGGGATGCACGTCGCCACCGCGGAGGATCTCGTCTGGAGGCCCGATGACGGGGGATGACATAGGGTTTACCGACAGGGAACACCGGGAACACTTGGAAGGCCTGCCCTCTGGGGCATTGCTGGAGGCCTAGGCTCATGACTCACGGGGTTGGGCATGAGGACAAAACCATCTTGGCTTGGTAAGACTGTACGGAGGAAGGGCTTGTTGCTGCACCGTCCCCATGACATCCCATGAGTATTCCTTGCTGACGGTAGTATGGGCTTCTGCGATCAGCAGAGGATAGAGGAGAGACTTAGTTAGTACAGACAGACCTGGATCATGTGGGTAGAGGATCACAAAGACCTACGGGAGAACTCCTGCCCTCCGGGGCTCCGTTGGAGCACGTCGCAGGATGGGACAGGGGGCTGGTACTTACGACGGGTTAACTTGACGATTTGCTGCAGCTGAAGTGCCTGAACCTCGGCGATGAGGCTGTCATGCATTACAGACAGACGCACACACAAGGAATCCAGAATGCAACCCTGGTTGACAGACCAAGACGCATCCATGGTTCGTAGAAGGCAATGAAGCTTTCAAGTAGCTCTCGCTGAATACGGTACGAATCAATACCCATGTAGTGGGGTGTGGTCAAACTGCCTGAAATTGATCAGCCTGCTCCCATCTTCGGAGCTTCCTGGACCTCGGCACATCTGCTTGCTGAGGTGTATCGTTGCCCTTTAGACTGTGGAGCTCTTCCAGGATCGGACGAGCAGGTGGATGCACGTCACCACCGCGGAGGATCTCGTCTGGAGGCCCGATGACGGGGGATGACATAGGGTTTACCGACAGGGAACACCGGGAACACTTGGAAGGCCTGCCCTCTGGGGCATTGCTGGAGGCCTAGGCTCATGACTCACGGGGTTGGGCATGAGGACAAAACCATTTTGGCTTGGTAAGACTGTTCGGAGGAGGGGCTTGTTGCTAAATGCTTGTGCGGGAGAACTCCTCCCCTCCGGGGCGCCGTTGGAGGAGGGGCACCTGGGCTGTTACTTGCGACGGGTGAACTTGGCGATTTGCCGCGGCCGAACTAGCGTCTCAGCCTCGGAACACGTCTTCCGGCGCTTTGCTGGAGGGTGGGGCTCGTGACTCAGAGGACAACACAGCTTGGTTTGGTTACTGAGAGGGTATGGACGGTGTTGGAGCTGTTGCCATGAACACTCCTTCACACATCCGCCATTATATGGGAACCAGTGTTTGTAAACCTTTCAAGCTCCTGTGCGCTGCCTGAAAGGGTATCTACGATTCTTTCGAGATTGCATACCACGTGAATAACGAGCGGGGCACGCAAGCCGAAGTGCCTTTGCCTCAGCCATTGCTGATATGGAGTGCATCTGGGCTGTGAATTCGGAGCTGAAGCTTGCTTCACACCGGCTTGCTTTCCGAAAGAACACTCGCGAGGAGCTTTGAACAAGGACCAGCACACTGTAGATAGTTATCTCTTTTGACTTAGGGCCCTATCGGAAGGCACACTTGCAGTTTCATCTTCTTTCCATGCCAGGTGATCCGAATCCCCCCAAAACCCTTTCCAAAGCCCCAGAAGCCCCAAATCTCCCAAACCCGCTAGCAACTGAGTTCCCTTGGAAGCCTAGGCCAGGATTCTGTCGTGGGTAGGCCACCGAAACTTTCATGGAACGTAAATGTCATCCCATAAACTCTCTATACTCTTGCTATTCTTCAGACTTTTTGCATGTTTTGCTATCCAGCCCATGGAGGCTTCCTTCCATCTGCCATGATATGTTCAGCTATATAGACTATCCGCGGACCAGTGTGCAGCTTTACGATGGCTACTGGTTTGGAGGCCTGAGTCTGATAATGTGGTGTTCGTCTGTTTACCACCACCCAAGAAGCACAGAGACCTTGTGCCCTCTGCCCTCGGAGGCTCGTAGGGTCAAAACTGCCACGCTGGTCATACAGAAGCGCCTCTGCTGGCTCACTGACGGCTTGCTGCAGGCGTGCTCTACCCCCTGGCACCCAGGGCTTGTCTGCCTGCTGATCCACTCACGACTCCGCCTGCCAGACGAATGGAACGAGGTCTGCCGAACCTGCGGCGCTTCTAGCAGGCAAGGGCCAGCGTCGCCTGCACAGACACTGCATTCATGCAGGTCACCAAGCAACTGGTTGGCAGAAGCCCGAACAGGCTTGGTTGGGTTTTTTTGGATGCACTGCGCCATACCGCGTGTTGCAGCCTCAGCAGCAGTAGCAGTACAGCAGCTTCTGTTGGATGAAAGTTTGCACGGGGACATGTGCATCTGGTTCAATGCAACCGCCCTGTAGATTCAGACGGCTTCTGCAGTCAGGAAATCAAGCCATGTGTGGTGAAGCATCATGGGAGGATCGTCGAAATTCAGTTAACTCATCGGTCCAATGCTTGACATGATCTCTGCGAACAGTTTGGCTCTCTGGAGGAACCTATGAAGCCTGGGAACTGGAAACAGTGCGTGTGATTCGACATCCTGGTGCTGCTGGGCTGCGGACATTCTGGACATCCGCCGTGATGGCAGAGGTGGCCAGTTGGCGATGTTGGAAGCCTGACAAGGCTGACAACGTGTCTGCGGCGTTGTTGATGTCCGCAGCGCACACCGCCTGCGGGGCCGTGTCGGAGCATCGCCATGGTGCGTCCCTGCTAGATGTCTGTTGATGGCTCGCTGCAGCAGTCTCCAGAAGGCTTGTCCCTGGCATTGTCTGCATGATCTGCATGCAGGGGTCTGGTGACCCTGCCGAGATTCTAGCAGGGGAGAGCATCCCAAAGGCATCCAAAGGCCACGACTATGGTGGCTGCGCAGGATGCCGCGATTAGGCAATCTAAGGGCTTGGCAGTGCACAGTATGCCTGACTGTGAACAGTATGCCTGACTGTGAACACGACCTGTTGTTTCGTTTTGCTTCCCTCCTAAACGCCATCCCAAAAACCATGCACGTAGATTTCCAGGCCTCGTCATGTGTGGAGTCCTCATGGAAGATGGCTACTTCGGTCATGATTTGCCCAATGTTTGTTTTGATCACGGCTGTCAACTTCGCTGACCATAGCATCGTGATGTCCTCTGCATGTACCTATGGGAAGCCTGGCAACTCGAGACCGTGCCTCGATTCGACGTCCTGGTGCTGCTGGGCTGCTGGACCTTCTGGACATCCGCTGTGATGCTGTGATGCAGAGGTCGGGAGTTGCTGGGAGCCTGACCAGGCTGACAACGTGTGTGTGGCGTTGTTGATGTCCGCAGCACAAAGACCTCCTGCCCTCCGGGGCCCGTTGGAGGATCGTAGGGTTGTCCTGCCGAAGCTGCCATGGTGCGGCCCTGCTGGATTTCTGTGCAGGAGCTGTTGATGGCTCGCTGCAGCAGTCTCCAGCAGACTTGTCCCTGGCAACCAGGGATTGTTTGCATGATTCTGCGTGCGGACCCACCAGTAGCTCCACCTGCCGGAAATCCGGAAACGGGTCTGGCATCCAAAGACCATGGCTCTGGTGGCTGCCACGATTTTGGAACCCTCTTCCAGCTGCATTCGTGCAGGTCGCCATGGAACTGGTTGGCACAAGCCTGTCCACGGTCGTGATCCTTCTGGGACGCTCGGCCATGGATCCAGCCGTTTGCAGCAGGCAAGGGGAGTTTTGCCTTCGAGGCGGATGTCTTCGCACTGACTGTGAACACGACCTGCTGTTTCGTTTTCCACAGCATCTGCTTCCCTCCTAAATGCCATCCCAAAAACATGCATGTAGATTTCCTGGCCGCGTCATGTGTGGAGTCCTCATGGAAGATGGCTACTTCGGTCATGATTTGTCCAATGTTTGTTCTGATCACGGCTGTGAACTTCGCTGACCATAGCATCGTGATGTCCTCTGCATGTACCTATGGGAAGCCTGGCAACTCGAGACCGTGCCTCGATTCGACGTCCTGGTGCTGCTGGGCTGCTGGACCTTCCGGACATCCGCTGTGATGCTGTGATGCAGAGGTCGGGAGTTGCTGGGAGCCTGACCAGGCTGACAACGTGTGTGTGGCGTTGTTGATGTCCGCAGCACAAAGTCCTCCTGCCCTCCGGGGCCCCGTTGGAGGATCGTAGGGTTGCCCTGCCGAAGCTGCCATGGTGCGGCCCTGCTAGATTTCTGTGCAGGAGCTGTTGATGGCTCGCTGCAGCAGTCTCCAGCAGACTTGTCCCTGGCAACCAGGGTTGTCTGCATGATTCTGCATGCAGACCCACCAGTAGCTCCACCTGCCGGAAATCCGGAAACGGGTCTGGCATCCAAAGACCATGACTCTGGCGGCTGTCATGGTTTTGGAACCCTCTTCCAGCTGCATTCTTACAGGTCACCATGGAACTGGTTGGCACAAGCCTGTCCACGGTCGTGATCCTTTTGGGACGCTCGGCCATGGATCCAGCCGTTTGCAGCAGGCAAGAGGAGTCTTGCCTTCGGGCCGGATGTCTTCGCACTGACTGGAAACAAGATCTGTTGTTTCGTTTTCCACAGCATCTGCTTCCCTCCTAAATGCCATCCCAAATACATGCATGTAGATATCCAGGCAGTGTCATGTGTGAAGTCCTCATGGAAGATGGCTACTTCGGTCATGATTTGTCCAATGTTTGTTTTGATCACGGCTGTCAACTTCGCTGACCATAGCATCGTGATGTCCTCTGCATGTACCTATGGGAAGCCTGGCAACTCGAGACCGTGCCTCGATTCGACGTCCTGGTGCTGCTGGGCTGCTGGACCTTCTGGACATCCGCTGTGATGCTGTGATGCAGAGGTCGGGAGTTGCTGGGAGCCTGACCAGGCTGACAACGTGTGTGTGGCGTTGTTGATGTCCGCAGCACAAAGACCTCCTGCCCTCCGGGGCCCGTTGGAGGATCGTAGGGTTGCCCTGCCGAAGCTGCCATGGTGCGGCCCTGCTAGATTTCTGTGCAGGAGCTGTTGATGGCTCGCTGCGTCTCCAGCAGACTTGTCCCTGGCAACCAGGGATTGTTTGCATGATTCTGCGTGCGGACCCACCAGTAGCTCCACCTGCCGGAAATCCGGAAACGGGTCTGGCATCCAAAGACCATGACTCTGGCGGCTGCCACGATTTTGGAACCCTCTTCCAGCTGCATTCTGACAGGTCGCCATGGAACTGGTTGGCACAAGCCTGTCCACGGTCGTGATCCTTTTGGGACGCTCGGCCATGGATCCAGCCGTTTGCAGCAGGCAAGGGGAGTTTTGCCTTCGGGCCGGATGTCTTCGCACTGACTGGAAACAAGATCTGTTGTTTCGTTTTCCACAGCATCTGCTTCCCTCCTAAATGCCATCCCAAATACATGCATGTAGATATCCAGGCAGTGTCATGTGTGAAGTCCTCATGGAAGATGGCTACTTCGGTCATGATTTGCCCAATGTTTGTTTTGATCACGGCTGTCAACTTCGCTGACCATAGCATCGTGATGTCCTCTGCATGTACCTATGGGAAGCCTGGCAGCTCGAGACCGTGCCTCGATTCGACGTCCTGGTGCTGCTGGGCTGCTGGACCTTCTGGACATCCGCTGTGATGCTGTGATGCAGAAGTCGGGAGATGCTTGGAGCCTGACCAGGCTGACAACGCGTGTGTGGTGTTGTTGATGTCCGCCGCACAAAGACCTCCTGCCCTCCGGGGCCCCGTTGGAGGATCGTGGGGTTGCCCTGCCGAAGCTGCCATGGTGCGGCCCTGCTGGATTTCTGTGCAGGAGCTGTTGATGGCTCGCTGCAGCAGTCTCCAGCAGACTTGTCCCTGGCAACCAGGGTTGTCTGCATGATTCTGCATGCAGACCCACCAGTAGCTCCACCTGCCGGAAATCCGGAAACGGGTCTGGCATCCAAAGACCATGGCTCTGGTGGCTGCCACGATTTTGGAACCCTCTTCCAGCTGCATTCGTGCAGGTCGCCATGGAACTGGTTGGCGCCAGCTTGCCACGGTCGTGATCCTTCTGGGACTCTCGGCCATGGATCTGTTCCCAGCAGGTTTTCCGTTGAGGCGGATGTTTTCACACTGACTGTAAACAAGATCTGTTGCTTCTTGTTTCACAGCATCTGCTTCCCTCCTACATGCCATCCCGAATACCTGCATGTGGAGTCTTCATGGAAGATAGAAACTTCAGTCATCATTTGCCCAATGTTTGACTTGATCATGGCTGTCAACTTCGCTGACCTGGCAACTCGAGACCGTGCCTCGATTCGACGTCCTGGTGCTGCTGGGCTGCTGGACCTTCTGGACATCCGCTGTGATGCTGTGATGCAGAGGTCGCCAGTTTGGCGATGTCGGGAGCCTGACAAGGCTGACAACGTGCGTGTGGCGTTGTGGATGTCCGTAGCACACAGACCTCCTGCCCTCCGGGGCCCCGTCGGAGGATCGTAGGGTTGCCCTGCCGAAGCTGCCATGGTGCGGCCCTACGAAGGCCGCGACTATGGTGGCTGTGCAAGATGCCGCGATTGTGGAGCCCTCTTCCAGCTGCATTCTCGCAGGTCGCCATGGAACTGGTTGGCACAAGCCCGTCCATGCTCCCAGCCAGTTGCAGCTGGAGGCGGATGGCTACGCACTGACTGTAAACAAGATCTGTTGCTGCTTCATTTTCGACAGCATGTGCTTCCCTCTTAAATGCCATCCCGAATACATGCATGTAGATTTCCAGGCGGCATCATGTGCGGAGTCAAGTCCTCATGGAAGATATTCAGAAGGTTGTGGATGTTTGACTTGATCACGGCTGTCAACTTCGCTGACCATAGCATCGTGACGTCCTCTGCATGTGCCTATGGGAAGCCTGGCAACGCGAGACCGTGCCTGTGATTCGACGTCCTGGGGCCTTTCTGAGATTTCTGTGCAGGAGCTGTTGATGGCTCGCTGCAGCAGTCTCCAGAAGGCTTGTCCTCTGTAACCAGGGACTGTTTGCATGATTCTGCATGCAGACCCACCAATAGCTCCACCTGCCGGAAGTCCGGAGACCCTGCGGCGCTTCTAGCAGGAGTCGACATCCGCCGTGATGGCAGAGGTGGCCAGTTTGGAGATGTTGGGAGCCTGACAAGGCTGACAACGTGTGCGGCGTTGTGGATGTCCGCAGCACACAGACCTCCTGCCCTCCGGGGCCCCGTCGGAGGATCGTAGGGTTGCCATGCCGAAACTGCCATGGTGTGGCCCTGCTCGATTTCTGTGCAGGAGCTGTTGACGGCTCGCTGCGACAGTCTCCAGCAGACTTGTCCTTGGTAACCAGGGATTGGTTGCATGATTCTGCATGCAGACCCACCAATAGCTCCACCGCCGGAAGTCCAGAAAGAGGTCTGGTGACCTTGCGGCGCTTCCAGCAGGGGAGAGCATCCCACGGCATCCAACGTCCACGACCGGATGCCAACCTTCTTCCTGCATTCTTGCAGGTCGTCATTGAGCTGGTTGACCCAAGCCTGTCTCGTGATGCTTCAGGGACGCTCGGCCATGGATCCAGCCTTCCTTTCGCAGCTGGCAAAGGGAATTTGTCAATGCAGAGTACGCCTTCGAGGCAGATGTCTTCGCACTGACTGCAAACAAGATCCGTTGTTTTTTGTCCACAGCATCTGCTTCTCTCCCCTAAATGCCATCCCAAATGCATGCATGTAGCCCGGCCGCATTATGTGTGCAGTCCTCATGCAAAATATTCAGAAGGTTTGGAAGCTTCGGTCATGATTTGTCCAATGGTTGACTTGATCACGGCCGTCAACTTCGCTCACCATAGCATCGTGATGTCCTCTGCATATACTTATGGCAAGCCTGGCAACTCGAGACCGTGCCTGTGATTCGACGTCCTGGTGCTGCTGGGCTGCTGGACCTTCTGGACATCCGCCGTGATGGCAGAGGTGGCCAGTTTGGAGATGTTGGGAGCCTGACAAGGCTGACAGCGTGTGTGGGTGTGACGTTGTGGATGTCCGCAGCACACAGACCGACTTCCTGCCCTCCGGGGCCCCGTTGGAGGATCGTAGGGTTAGCTGCCATGGTGCGGCCCTGCTCGATCTTGTCCCCTGGCAGGAGCGCGTTGCAGCTCGCAATGGAACCAGTTGGCAGAAGATTGACAGCAGTTGTGATCCTTTAGGGGCACTTGGCCATGGATCTGGTCCCATGTGCCGGCAGCAGGCATCGGTGAAAGTGAGTTTGGCCATCCTGTCTCAGCCTCGGCCACTTCTTGCAGTGCAGTTGCATCTGTTGGACAAGTGAGCGGGTTTGGTTACACACACGCATGCACCCCTGCGTAGATTCAGAAGGCTTTGCAATCATGACATCAGGCAGTGCATCTTCTGTGGATCTCAAAGTAGAATTAATCTGCAGAAGGTCTATCCTCTGTCCACTGCATATCGTGATGGGGCCAAAGTGGCACCTGCGAACTTTGGGCATGCCGTTGATGCCCCAATGCATCCCGATGCATGCCAATGCTTTCGGAGGCTACGTGGCGACAAATCTCGACACCCTGCACCTCCGCCGTGATGGCAAAGGCCAAGTTTGCAGGCCTGTTGGGAGGCTGTGGTGAGTGTTTCGTGCTGCTTGATTCCACAACGCCGCGACCTCTGCCCTCCACCCTCCGAATCCCCAATTTGGAGGCTTTCACCAGCCATGCTGAAGCTGGAGCTGTTGATGGTTCATACCGATTCATACCATGTAAATATCCCAACCAGGGCTTTGCACCGTCCGGAAATAGCTGGGCATGGTCAGGCCTTGTCAGGTCACCCTCTGTCAGGCATGGGGCGCACCGCTAGCAATGAGCAGCAATTGAGCTTGCAGCTCTGTTTGCTTGAAGGGCCCCACCTTAATGGGGAGCAGTCCATGGGCCACTGTTCTGGTGGCTCCTGTTGTCTTGAAGCCACCAAATCCTGGTTCGGCTTGGCCTACACGGCAGGCAGGATCAGGCAGGCCGCGCCTCGCTTTGCGTGCCATTGGTGACTCTTGGCCTTCATCCCCTTCTATTCTCTGAAATGCCCATGTTCCGGAGCTAGAGTTTGAAAGGACTTCATGAAAGCTCCATGTGTGGCGCAGATGCGACATCACCTGCGCTTTTTGGGTCCCATATATCCTCTTCACAAAAGGGCACAATGCGACCCAAATCCTAAGCTATTTTTGTGGGCCCCAGAATGTACCAGGTACATGGTTGGATTGTACAGTCCCGGACAATGACCCAGTCTGCAAGGATCCGTGGCAAAGCATCGGGTTCAGTCCTAGCAGCGTCACAGCAGCGTCAGCTCCTGTCAAGCTCTGTTCGCATGCCTTTGCAATTGCTCATGGTTGGATCTGAATCAAGCAGTAGTTTTCGCTGAAGTCTGCACATGATGGTAGTCATTGAGCGCTCATGTTCGTCTGCCCAGTTCCGGGTCTGTCAATGACTCGTTGCTTTCTCGCAGATATCCTGACAATCTGAATTCGCACTTGAGATTTTCATTCGGAGGCAAAACATATGGCCTTCAGCAACCTGCAATGGCCTGCATTGCCTCGGCAGACGGTAGCTAGTGCTTGGTAGACGGTTCACGTGCACGCTGCACGACGGCGAGTCTTCGCTTCAATTGCTTGCTGTCATGGAGAGCAATATGCAGCACTTTTGCATGTTCCATGTTCTCAGACACGTCTTTTCCTCTATGTTTGCCTGTGTCCGAAGACACCTCCAGGAATCGGTCCAAGATCTGCCAGCGGCATGGCTAAGGTGCTTCAGCATGCAAATGGTGTTAAGATTAAGCGGGGCCCTCAGCATCCGGCCTTCATGTCTATGTATACGCATGTGCACGTGTATATTATATGTTGCATATGCATACAAAAGCATTCAGCGTAGATGCGGCGAAACGAATGCTCTAAAGCTTTGAGGCGACCGCGAGGTACAAAGGCCAGAGTCTGTTGCTTCTCTGCAACTGGCCAATCGCCGGCTACGGTGCCTTCCGCATCTCATCTTTTGGATGCTTTACATGTACTGAAGCAGGTATGAGCACTGAATAGTCTTTATCTTTTCTGCTATCGATTCCCATGCATGTTGCAGCGTCTAACCTTTGGGGGGGGGGATTGCGGGTGACCTCAGTTGTGTATATGGTGTGCACATGTGGGGGGCAGATCTTTATTGTGGGGCGTTTCTTGCCACCGCTACAAGGACTCGACTAGAACGCATTAGAGACCCACAATTTCGATTAACACCCAGCTTGACCTGCTGTGGTAAGTTTATGTTGGGCCCTTCGAAGGGGGATTCACTAAATTAGGTCGAGGTCGGGTTTGATGCTCTTGTTGGCGGATTCACTTCGTGCCAGAGGGCACTGCAATGAGGTGTGGTTATGAAAACCGAGACAAAGCGCCGACCTGATGTTAACTACACATAGCTATGCGCCCAATATTTTGCGCTTCGCAGCATGCACCATCTTCCTGTATGGGGTTGTTCCTCTGCCCTCCGGGGCGCTGGAAGCGTACAGTCCTCTGAGCTTGCCTCCAGTTCGACCTTCAGTGTTGTCGGAGTTTGCAGCCTGGACTTCGTCTCCACAGTGGCGCTCCTCGAGGTTGCTTCGCTTCTGATGTTTTGTTGCCTCAGCTTTAAGGCCCAAAGTGCAGTGTGTTCACGGTGAAATGCCTCCGCTTCTGGCGTTTGTCTCAAGTTTGACTTCCTGCAAACGTCGGTTCCAGCATGAGCTAGTGTGGACCGCTTACAACTTCGCTGCACGGGTACCTTGACCAGGCTCTGGCTCAGCATCGCGCGCGCATCACAGAAAAGTCACAGCCAGAAGGAGAGCGCTACGTCGCCATGGCAGAGAGGCACATATGCCCTGCTCTCGAAATCGCTCTTGACATTCACAGCAACCGCAGCGCCGTAGAAAACATGAAGATGTTCATCAGCTTCGGCTACCTATTGCATGGGCCGTGCTTCCCAAGATTACAGCTGAGCAAATTCAGGATGTCAGTGCCCACCTTTGTACGTAGAACGTTGCCCTCCCGCAAAATCTGGAAGGCTTGTCGCCCTGTGTTTTTCTCTTCGCATTCTGCGCGCTGTGATGCTTGTAGAAGTCGTTTTTTGGTCATGCTTTGCACTTCCAAGACGGCAACCAGGGCAGATTTCTCTGAGCTACTACTGCAGCATTTCTTATCTGGTTCCTCTTCGTCCAGAGCATACCAGCAACTACCAGCATACCTCTCGTGGACCCTCCCTCCCAAATCCCATACAACGTGATGTTCACGACTTGCGGAGGTATTCTCGAGTCCTGTAAAGGAATGCCGAAGCGGAGTATTCTCGACTTTCCTGGTGTAGATGCCATTGAGGCTGGGTCGAAGCAAGTGGCTCACTGAGATGCAACACTGCGAAAAGACGTAAGGGCCTTTTAGACTGTTATGCGAGTGCGCCATTTGGTCCGCCCCAGCGCAATTCGGACACGAGCATGCCATTTTGATCGCGGGGTCGTTTCTTCGTCGAGAGTGGTTGATGGGTTTGGCTATTAGCTGAATTGACGAGTATGGGTTTGACAGAACCGTTTTGTTGGCTTTGTTCATCTCAGTGCTGGATTTTTTTGTGTGAACGGAAGACGTCACGATAGAGCGGCAAGCTTTATTCGTGCAAAACAAGTCAGCTAGTGCTCTTCAGACTAGTTTCCTGTGTGGGAATTGTTCCTCTGCCCTCCGGGGCCCTGGAAGCACTGACATAGTCTTCCGACCGAGCTTCACCTCCTACATCTTCGACCTGTGGTATGTGTCGGTGTTAGCAGCCTACAGGAGTTCGTTTCCACACTGGTACAAGGTTGTGTTGCTGAGTTTGTGGGCCATTTAACGAGGGGATTGCAACAGCAGGTGTCTTTCTGGTATGTCGTTTTCCAACGAAAGTCACAATTGATGCTGACCTCCTTGATCTTTTGTTGCAGCACTTCGATCTGACCTTCGATTTGATCAGCGCTTCGCCTTGGCGCGGGCAATGTGGGAGCATGTGGTCTTCTAGCTCATGTCGTGTTGTTTGGGATGTTCCGCTTTTGTACTAACAGTCCTTACTAGGGATTGTAGTATCCCCCTATGGTAATCCCGATTAAGGCTTGTTACTATAAGGGGAGCATCCCAACATGTGGTGTTCACGACCATCTCCGCGCACTACTTCGCCGTGACAGAAAAGGCACATAAGCCCTCCCTCGACGCATTTTCTCTCGCGAAAGTGACAGATATCTTTCTCGCTGGAGGAGTTTGTCGTCGATGGCACGCTCATATGATTTGATGGCATGGAAGGGGTCGTTTGTATATTCATTGGCCTCCGCAGAGAAGCACTATCTTTGACCCTGTTGACCCTACTCGCGACATCCCGCTCCACATTCCAGGCAGCCTGAGCCGTTCAACGCGACAACTGCAAGCACGATAGCAAAGCTTAAGGTTTGCAGCTTCCCAGATTACATTCAGCAGGCTTGTGA